ATATATATATATACTTTCCTCTGTGTAGTGAAAGAATAAATCGATCGAATCGATTTTCCTGTATCAAATCTCTGCAGATTTAAAACTCGCGTAATAGTTATTGCGCAGTAGACATTGCACACTAATTTCCTCATTAATTTTAATTAAAGTAAGCTTGACAAATTAAAATGAAATGAAAAATTTCTAGACTATCTCCAATGTCAATCGAGTCAGCTTTCTAAAACTCGACCCCTAATGAATCTGGAGTTTTTGGATCGGAAAACCGTTGTTTTTTATTCTAACATCATGCTCGAGTTATTGTTTGAAATCCTGTTTACACTTGCATTGGACAGTTGAATTTTTTTATTTTTAAAATTTCCTCCATCTTAATACAGGGAGTTTCCCAAAATAATTTTAGCAAACCTTATCAGAAATGTTTTTAACGCTATTTAAATGACATGTATAAAATATTTTATTCAGAATATATGTATGCTGTTTTAAGATTAAATGTTTCCAGCTTGTTTTTTATCCAAATATTCTTTTACGTTTCTATGAGATTGCAGTTAAGAGAGAAAGCATTTGGTTATATGAGTTTCCGTTGTGTTTTTAACCAAAATAATCCGTTTATTTAAAATATTATATGCATTACTTTTTAATTTAAATCTTTTTCTTCAACTGCAGCACGTATTTTCACGGAAGGAAGTTCGAAACTAATAATCCTTAAACCATGAATACATAACTATACGGTTTTTTAATCATTTACAACTAGCATGGTTTCAGACCTTAAAAAAAACAAGACATTGGAGCTAGGCTTTTCGGGTAATGGGGATTGGAGTTTCGTTGTGGTGGAGTTGTGGACGTGGAATGTGGTTTAGTAAGTTTATCTGGTTGTTTCACCCATCGTAAAAGATAAAAAATACCAGACTTTTTGTGCCGAGCAGCTTAACGCTGCTGCAATCTATGCCTGAATGAAAGTATCGTTTTCTTATAGTCCAAGATCACAAATTTTGGAGTGTATCACACTGGATGTGTTGAAGGGAATGTAGGAAATAATATAGTGGCAACCCTGGGACTCGAACAATGTGTCGGTCATGAAGATATCGCCCTCTCTTCCATAATAAGTACACAGTTGCAAGGAACGAAGTGGTTTTATTAGATGGGGGATAAAATTCTGGTTGGTTAACCGTATTAGGTGAATGCAGTTAATACACGGGTTTTTTTTTCACAGTTAGCAGTTTGAATACCATCTTATTTATGGTTATTTGATTATTTTGTTTGAATATGATAAAATAATTAAATAAATAAATTGTTTTTTAGCCATTTTTACCAAACATTTCTTACAGTATATAATAATTGCATTCCAAACACTTCCACGTAACAAGCGAATCACAAATGGTTAAAATATATATATTGTTAAAAAAAGTGTGATTGCAGCATTCTGCCTAAGAAGCTATTTAATATAATCTCATTCATTTTCCTAAACTCAAAGTTTCCCAACAAACATGAGCCGAGCAATAGTTTTGTTGCATGTCAGAACATTCCAACTTAAATATTTACATAGGCGTTTCTGAAAATGCTAGTTTCTTTGAAAACATTGTTCTATATTTTTTTCCGGTTAGTCAGCGGCATTTAGTGACACTTCGTAACAAATTTAAAAACTCCGTGGGTATCGTTATCTTGTTTCCACAGCAGAATGCAGCAAAAAATACGTATCTATGTCCTTCCGATTTTTTATTGTTCCTTTCAAGTCATTTTTCTGGACACCAGGAAAATACAATTACGTCAATTTTTGGTACACCCGGTTTAATATAATAATAGTCTTGATTTTAAGACACATTTTTATTTTTTATTTTTTCGTGTATGTTTATATAATGTACTTGCTCCAATTTTATTGATATTTACTTTTGTACTATTTAATTGGTTTTAAAAGTACTATTTTTAAATGTTTTACATTATTGTTCTTTTGTAAATTTTGCACGTTTATCTTTTAAATTGTTCTTTTAAATTATTCTTTTAATTGACACTTTTAATATATTGCTGTTTTAATGTTTATCACCTTACATGATTTTAGCTGCTCTACGCCCGCCATGTTCATGGGCTGTTGCCATGTCTGATGTGTATTTTATGTTTGTACTGTTTTCTGGATTTTTTTTAATTTTAATAAGCATTTACCCGTATGCCCTAATTAAGGGCGGGTCGGGGTAAATTCTTCCATATAATGTACTCGAATATTTTTTTTTGTAATGATTTAGGTACAGTGCGCAAAGTTAAAAAAAAAAAAAAACGACATACGTAAAACATCCTGTATTACTTTTGATCTAATAATCGGTTTTTCACGCAGTAGAAGTCTATCTTAATAACCCGAAGGCATTCCCTTAAATATGCTGATTAATTAGAACTGATGATATTTTAAGTTACGAAATCTGACATAAAGACATATTTTCTCTGAATAGACGTACCTTTTTTTTATAACATTAACTATTAATTAATTTAGAAAAAATTATTAATACAAGTTTTAATTATTTTCATGCAGTATAGTAAATACATTATTTAAGGTAGAAATTTTTAAGTATAAATTAATTGATAATGTATGTTTAGGAAACTATTTTTTACTACGAAATTGAAAAATGTATTATTGCAAATCAAAAGTGATTTTTTTTAAATATAATTAAAAATATTTCTATGCAATAAAATAATTAAATACATTCTTTTGAGACCTATTTCGTTAAGTCCGATTTTATTGATAACGAGGATTTCTTTACTAAGAAATACCGAAAGTGATGTGCATGTAAATTATGTTTCAAAATAGACTATACGTTAATAAGTGTGATATGTAACACTTAAATAGTAGTTTTTCATTTAATATATTTAAAATAATTTTCTTGCTATAAACATATTTCAATTACAACCATTTACTTTTTTGCTAATTAAAATGCAGTGTCTTTATATCTTATTGAATATGTAGTTAGAGTGTATCAAGACTTCCATAAACCAGAACGACTTTTTTTTCAGTTATGTTTTCTTATCTAAAGTAATTAATTTTCATTAGGTATCTAGTTCAAAACTTGTCTCCCGATTTTTAATAATCATTACCAAGTTGAGTTTGAAAAATATAATAGTGATTTTTTTTAACTCAGTGATTAGTTTGTAATAATATAATAATTTTATCAATTTTAGTAAGAAATATTAACTATTTTAGTTCTATTTCTTTTAAACAATAGTATGATTAAAATCTTTTATCAGATGCTTTGAATGGTAAATTTTAAAAAATCCAATAAATTTTATTTAAAAAAAATATCCGATTCAAATCAAATCTATACGATTTTGGAGTAAAAAAATTGTTTACCAACCATGGCTTCTGGTCAGAGCTGTAGTCATAAACTTTTTAGTGTGTTAACGATAAAAATTCGAACATTTTACGCGGAAATCTTTTTCTTCTTCTTAAATAATATGCAGAAGTTTGGTTAATATAGACTGGTTTAAAATTTCAATAAAATTAAGTTTTAAATATTAAAGTAGGGTTTTTACAATTTAATTAAAATTTGGTTCTGCAACCAGAACTTTTGCTTTTTATCTAATTTGAGACGATACGTTGGTAAAACTTTTTAACCAATATTCTTGAAAGAATTGCATCGATCTAATTAAAATTTAGACCGATTTTCAGAACTTTAAAAGCTCCTTGTCACCTTAAAATGAACAAAAAATATTTTTTTTCATTGTTTAAATATAGTTTGCATTTTAAAATTTCAGAAATATCAAAATTTACAACATATAAAAAAAAAAAACTCCTTTTAATTGAAAATCACCAAAAGATGGAGGAACACTTTTTGACATACTCTAGCTTCTGGTGAAAATTGTTTCTATCAGAAATTGTTTTGCAGCATAATTGATGGTCATAAGGGTTACCTTGAGCGCAGTACACCAACGTTTCTCAAAGGGGATAATATGTTAGCAGCGCAGTCCACCATGTTTTAGAAAACCATTAGCGCAATCCGCTATCACCGTAAAAAAGGGCATAGTTATTACTAATTATTTACTTTTTAACCATTTATTATCATTAATTATTTACTTTAATTAGCTTAACATTTCCCTCATTTCAAATTTTCGCACAACTAAACCCACGTAGTTTTAAATGACTAAATTCAAAATTTGAATGAATCGGTCTATTAGCTCTTGAGAAATAAAAATTTAAAATATTTATCCAAAATATTTATTTTAATGAAATTCTCACTTACTTTTCAGAAATGATGGGAAAATGACTACTATTATAATGCAAGAAGAGAGAAATTCTATTAAATAATAATAATGTTTGTTTAAAAAGACAATGGAAATGTTGATTATTATTTGATTNCAACTAAACACACGTAGTTTTAAATGACTAAATTCAAAATTTGAATAAATCGGTCTATTAGCTCTTGAGAAATAAAAATTTAAAATATTTATCCAAAATATTTATTTTAATGAAATTCTCCCTTACTTTTCAGAAGTGATGGGAAAATGACTACTATTATTATGCAAGAAGAGAGAAATTCTATTAAATAATAATAATGTTTGTTTAAAAAGACAATGAAAATGTTGATTATTATTTGATTTGAAAAGTATATATTACCTGAAACAAGAATTTTTTGTATGTCTTTCTTATTCAAAACCGAAAGTGCTAAGACAGTTAATCTCTTTATTTTTTCCTTACAATGAATATAATCTGTTTTTTTTTCACTTGATATATATTGAAGAAGAATTTGATTTTGTATGATATCTGAATACATGAATATTTTATATAGAGACATGAATACTTCATACAAAGATATGAATACTTTATAAACATGAATATGTTAATGTACAGAAATGTGAATGCTTGATTTATAGATATGTGAATATCTGATATATTTATATAAAGGTATGAGTCCATGGTATTTGAGTATAATAAATATTTAATATGCTGAGACATGAAAATTTAATTTACAGATATATTAATACTTGCTATGCAGACACGTGGATATTTGATGAACAATGTATGAATTGTTGCTATACTGATATGTGAATATTAGATATACAGATGTAGAAGATATATAAATGTGGGAAAGATATTTTCCACTAGATTTATTAAAAAATTTATAAGTCTTAAGCACTTGTTTAAAGCTTCGATAATAAATTCTATTAAATTTGTAAACTGCTACCAAATCTTTCACGAGTTTCCTGAAATAAACGCATTACTCTGTAATGCCTTCATTAAACTTTACGACTGAATTTCTGTTAAAGTACTTGTATGCGCAGTTTATTTCTAAAATTTAAAGGGATCCATCACTGTTCATTTGAAAGTAATAACTTATAAAGTCAGCTCAGAGGTTGTTCTATCTTTACACGAGTACCACTGAAACGATATTAAACCAATTTTCTATTTGGTTAAAAGTTGAGCTCTAAGTGAATAATTAGTTTGTTTGTGTTGTATATGGCTTCGTGCCTGTCTTTGTGTTAAGTCTCTGTGTAAATATATAGTGAAAGAATTGAAATGTCTGAGGAAGAATCTTTGTGAAAGAATTTAGACTGCGTCATTTGAGAGAATTTATATTGACTGGACTTGGCTTTCTCGAAATAGAACGGAAAGAACAGTTGCTAACATAAACAAATGCCACGCTTCAACAACCCATCAGGATTGAGATACCCACACTACGTCACTTGCAGGCATCTCATTATATTTCATCTCAATTAATTTTTTTGGATATTTTCAAAACTTTCTCCACTCGGTTATTACACAATATTATCACTCGTTTGACATCAGATATCCACGATTAACTATTAAACAATAAAAACAATGATGCATCTTCTTCACTTGTACTACACTGAATAAACATTTGGTATTTTCCTTGTCCTGGATGTCGAAGCATTTATGGTTCTGCGCCATTTTGCATTCTTTTGATCTATTAATTTTGTGGGGGACTTAAGTTGAACTCTACGAAAACAATGTCCTTCACTGTACGGCGTTACATTTCTAGTTGAGTTTGTCATATTTTTTTTTTGTCTCATCTACAGACATTAGGAGACTGAAGCTGAGATGTAACTCTGACAAAAACAATAAGCACCAGTGGTACTCCTAATCCATTCTGTTACATTCGAAACATTTCAAGTCCTTGATGTCAAAGCAAATATATTCTAGAACACCTCGACGTTTTTCTCAATCTATAGATTTTAGATGATTCAACTTAAGTTACAACTCTGCAGCAACAAAGAAATATGAGTAACAGTAATATTCCTTCTCCATTCATTCCTCAGTGCTACTTTCAAAATTTCAACTCTACGAAATTTGATGTTCTTCTCAGTCTATTGACATTACGGGACTTGAAGAATCTAAATTCTTCTAACCACCAAAGTGAACATCAGCCGACTACAGATTCTTCAGTACTATCACCAAGAAATTGCTTCATTATAGCAGCTTATAGTGCAATAATAATCATCAGTCTGTTCGGAAATTGCCTAGTTCTTAACATAGTGATTCGAAATTCAAGACTGCGCACTGCCACTTACATATTCTTCGCCAATTTGGCGCTGTCTGATCTGATGATGACGGCACTTAATGTTCCTTTCAATGTCGCACGATTGATTCTTCCTGATTGGCCTTTTGGTTCAGTCATGTGCTCCATAGTACCATTTGCGCAGTCTACTTCTGTCTATGTATCGACTTTTAGCATGACTTATATTTCATTTGACAGATACAAAGTCATCTGCAGGCCTCTCAAACCAAAATTGAGAAGCTCTCAAGTAAGCTAAAAGTTTTATTAGAAAATTATTTATATAATTTCAAGTATGATTTAATGGTAGTAATACTAATAAATAGGACATAATAGCAATATTCATTAATAGAAACATAATATAAATAAAGTATATAATGTACAGTGAAATCTCCAGGGAAGACCACCTCTATTTACGTCCACTTTCGGGAGGCATGGAATTCTTTCCATTGCTGAAGAAAACCTTTAGATGAGATCATTAAAACCTCTCCCATCGACCAGGAAAAATATCTGCACTAAATGTGGTAAAGGACAAATGAGGAAACAAGTAAAAATATTGATACAAAAAATTTAAAAAAATAAATAAGTAGATTCAAATGTATTCAAAATATTTGTGTGAGGTTCTTATTTAGAGAGCTGTTTCAGACAATACAACCACATGTTGCAGTCTGAGTACACTTAAGACAATGCTATCAATGATGTATTTTTAGAGTTAAAAATTAAATTTTTTTTGAAAAAAAGCTTTTTTAGAAAAAACTAAGCATCTTAAACAAATAAACCAACTTCTCAGTTTTTAAAGCCAACTAATTTTTATGATATAAAAGTAAATGCAAACTTAAACATTGAACCTAATTGTTAAAATAGCTTTATCATTCATAATTGGTAAATTTGTTTTTGCACATATTTGTATCAGTTGAGATCATTTTTATAGACGCTCAATTTTATTCAACGATCCGTCTTTTTATGACGCCAACAGAAGTGCCGTTTCTGCACCAAGAAAATGACACTGACTAAAATTAATATCATTTGCGAAAAATCATGCACCTTCGATAACAGTTTTGAAGCGAATGAAGGTAAGAACAATCCACCTCCATCAACGACCCTTTTACCTCTAGAGCGGAGGGTGGTCACTCCCGAAAGATTTCACTGTAGCATATTAGTAAATAAGATATTTTACTAATAAGACATTGTAGTAATACTAATCAATAAAAAAATAAAAGTGAGCAACTATTAAAAATTACATTTTTCATTAATTGCTATAGTAATACTAATAATTAGTATTAATATTATTAAATCAGACATTGTTGTATACACAATGAAAACACAATAGTAAATTGTTTTTAATACTATAAAGACTAAAACTTAGTACATACCTATATTGCCCAAAAGCAGTCAAAATGACTGCATTGTGAAAGAATAACTATTATGTAAAGAAATTTGTTTAACTAATTTTTAATATTATTTATATTATTTACAGTTATATAACAAGTTATTAGTAAATATTAACAATAAAAAAATTTTACTTTACTTGGAAAAAAAAATATTAATTTTTGCATTATTATTTGTACATTTTTTGCAAATGAAAAAGCAGACGAAATGACTTCCTTTAGGCTACCTAGGGTTAAGAACTATAATCACACTAATACTAATAAAAAGGAAAAGTTAACAAGTAGTAGTAATAAATATACAATTATAGTGAACAATAATTAAGGACTATAATAACACTAATATTAATTCTAATAAATAATAATTAGTATTGATATTATTAAATCAGGCATTGTTGTATACTAATCAATGAAAAAACTTTAGTAAATTGTTATTATGAACTATAATCACACTAATACTAATAAAATAACAAAATTAAAAAATTAGTAGCAATACTAATAAATAAATAATTTATATTCTAATAAATAAAAATAATGGTGAACTCTAATTAAGGACTATAATAACACTAATATTAATACTAATAATTAAGAAAAATTAATAATTAGTAGTAATTCGATTAAATAAGATATCGCAATGATACTAATCCATAAAAAGTAATAGCTGACTGTTATTATGAACTAGGATTACACTCATAAATAAGAAGAACTAATTATTTGCAGTAATCCTAAGAAAGACATTGTAGTAATAAAATGTAACAGTGAACTGTTATTTAGAAATAACATTTCCTATTAATTTTAGGCGTTTATAGTAACTATTTGCATTTGGTTCCTGGCGCTCTCTTTGTCTGTCCCGTATGCTATTTACAACAGAATTATTCCGATCTTCACATTCAAGATAGTGAATCGATGCCAGACACTCTTCCCTGAAACATACAGCCCATGGATTGAACTCATTTCCCTAATGATACAATATCTGTTGCCACTCACAATAACTGGAATACTATGCGGCAAGATCGTCTGCCATATTTGGCAGAGGAGTCCATTCGACAATTTTACTAAAGAACAGATCATCGTCCAAGAAAAAATGAAAAGAAGGGTGAGTGGTTATTCTTTTTTGCTACTCCTATACAAAGGTCGGTCTGTCCCTTCACATTAAATAACTTTCGACAATCTTTTATTACTCCCCCCCCCCTTATAAGCAAAAAAAGCAATATCTAGGAGCCGTGATGGCTCAGGCGATAGAACGCTTGCCTCCTAATGAGATGGCCCAGGTTTAAATTTCAGCGATGGCTGATCGATATGAACTCTACACCCAGTGCACCACAGTGCTCGAATAAAATATCCTCAGTGGTAGACGGATCATGGGTTAGAATCCCCTTGCGTCAGACTAACCGTGGATGGTTTTCGGGTTTTCCTCTCCATGTAACGCAAATGCGGGTTAGTTCCATCAAAAAGTCCTCCACGAGGGCTAGTTTTTCCCAATACTTTATCCAAGAATTTCCTTGTCTTCTGTGTTTGGTTCAATATTACAAGTCTATGAAGTGAATAGTTGTAAAAAAAAATATCCGGTTATAAAATAAATAAATAAAAAAATCCCTATCCAATGCTTACGTGCGAATGTCGTAACGATTGCTTCAATTGTTGATGCATCAATTTTGACTTTCACTGCACAACTTTGACTTTTACTGCATTAGAATAAAATTCAAATGAAAGATGTAGCTTTGCTTAAATCAAAATTTCCGCTTTTATTCATTTTTAAAAATTTTGAGTAAAATATTCTTTAGAATCTCAAGTTTTTCTTTTTGATTTAAAATTCTTGAGCTCTGAAACTCCAAGAAGAAATTTTTTTCCAATTTTTTTTATTCCTCGAATTCAACTTTTATTCATAACTTGAAATTTTCCCACGTGTTTACATTGCAATTTTAATTTTGTTTTTGAGAAAAATTTGAAAAGAAAAGGAATTCAATACTTAAAAAATTTTCAAAAATGACAAAGAAATTATATCTTTCTAGACATTTGAAAGGCCTTGAATCCTATACTAATATGACACATTTTTTGGAGTACAACAGATTGAATTCCATATTGATAACACTATAGTTTCGTGCTGCTATTTTTTAAAAGTACAGATGAAGAAACAATACTTAGGAAAAGCTTGATATGCTACTTTTTTGGAAAAATTATAGATTATCTCCTTATTATCTCAAATATTTTCGTTTCCTATACTCTTTTTTCTTCCTATTTTTTTCGATCCCATTTTTTGTTACTAAATTGATTATAGATGACAGCCATAGAAATAATAGCGATTTCTGGACATAACAAATAATTTAACTCATTTTTGGAATACACAACTGATCATAGTTACATTTTAGTCTCGTTAAATTGTTGCATTTATGGCTGATTTCTTTGGTGGACGCATATTTCAACCTTACATATTCAAAATTTATTAAGAAAAAAATGCCCACTTACTTGCTATTTTTTACTTAAGTATTTGTACATAAAAAAAGTATGAAAAGTTCTAAGCTTGTATAATGTTTGTTAAACTGTCATTTTTTCTCTTATTTTGCATGTTTTGATTCAAGTGAATAAAAAGCATTGTTCGTGAATTACCATAATAAATAACATTGGGGAACACATTTTTATTTGTTTGTTATCTGCTGCATGAGATTCTGTAACAGATCCGCGATACTTTCATATCGCTGATTTGAAATCTGCAATAGTCTCTTCTCGCAAAGCTATAGTTTTTTTTTAATTAAATTTTGAGTGTACTTTTTGTCGAAATGTACAAATTAAAAACGTTTTATCTAACAGGAGGTCACGGAACCCTATCGACACATTTTTGGGAGAGTTAAGGAACATTATCAGGATTAAAATTTTTAAGAAACCACTTAGGGAATGTCGTCGTAAGCCACTAGGGGCGCTTCTCCTATTATGAAATGTTTCTCTGCATGCTTCTAAATATGTCGCAATAGAAAAGCGCCCCTAACCACGTGCGACGATATTTCCAGGCATGGATTCATATTCAGTTTTAATACTGGTGATCTGCCCTAACTCCCCTACAAGTTTAGCACCATTTACGCGACCGCCTGTTATATAGAACGCTTTTAAACTTGTACATTTCCGCAAAAATATTTTTGAAAAACATCTGTAGCTTTAGGAGCAAAAGGAATTTCAGATTTAAAATTCTCACCTCCAAATTATCCAAGATCAAGCATTTGCATAATTGCAACAAAAAATTTGTTACTTAAATTATTATTGCAACATTATTATTACAGCAAAATATTTGTTATCTATTGAAACACATACTCCAAACACCGAGAATTACGACGCTCATATTCAGGACTTGTACTGAGCGTGTTATTTTACAACCGTCGTTGAACAGCCGACCCTATTTTGGGTTTACGACTACTAATGTTCAACTCCGTAGCCTTGTATTTTTGAACCCAATCCAGAAGACAAGGGAACTCCTGGATCAGTATCCTCAGAGGTATTGATTTGTTATGGGAACTTGGAGGACTCTGTGACCCAGACAGATTTAACATGCACCAGTAACCATTTTTAATTCACTGGGATTCTTCGGCCAGCTGGACTCGAAAGCCCATTGTCACGAGCGCGAGTCCAACCGGGCTATCTCGGCCTCAAAATGTATGATTATATTTAACGTGAATTTCGGACATTATGGATACTTTTTTCCTTTTACAGCTGCGCAGTGGACTATTGATAACACGATCTGGGAAACATCTCCGAGGATGATCCGAAGACATGCCATCACAATTTTGATCCTCTGCCGAGGGGATGGCACCCCCGCTTCGGGTAGCCCTACGAGCGAAGTCGAGCACTTTACGGTAGAACAGTTTGACGAGGACCAATACCGCACACCCTGGGTTCATACGTAGGCTGATCAAAGTGATCATCCACCCGCTTACTGACCGCAGCCAGAGATGCTTCTACTGGGAACAGTTTACTTACGATCGGAACCCAGGGAGATGAGTAACAACATTGAATATGCTTTTTTTTCCCTTCACATTCACTTAAGCAATGTCATTTACANGGACACGGTCTGGGAAACATCTCCGAGGATGATCCGAAGACATGCCATCACAATTTTGATCCTCTGCCGAGGGGATGGCACCCCCGCTTCGGGTAGCCCTACGAGCGAAGTCGAGCACTTTACGGTAGAACAGTTTGACGAGAACCAATACCGCACACCCTGGGTTCATACGTAGGCTGATCAAAGTGGTCACTACCAGCTTACTGACCGCAGCCAGAGACTTCGGTGTTCTACTGGGAACAGTTTACTTACGATCTGTCCACTGCGGAACCCAGGGAGATGAGTAACATTGAATATGCTTTTCACATTCACTTAAGCAATGTCATTTACAAAGCATTAAAAATTTTCAAAATAAAATAAACTATTAATGCAGTTTATGAATGACATAACAATTGGACGAAGAGTTAAATAACTATTTTATTTATTTACAGGCTGTAAAGATGATTATTATTGTGGTGTTACTTTTTGCAATCTGCTGGCTGCCGCTCAACACATTTTACATGCTCAAAGAATTCGCAGGAATGGAATTCATGTGCGAGTCATCCAAGTCCACAACTATTCATTCCACCATCTATTTCTTTTGTCATTGGCTGGCCATGAGTTCTGTCTGTTACAACCCATTCGTATATTGCTGGTTGAACGAGCATTTCCGAAACAAGATTTTGAATTGCCCTTTAGTCTTGTGTAAATTAGGCTTAAGACTTTTCACTTGCGTGAGATCAATAACACGTTTGAATCCGACGAGCAAGTTCGATGATATGAACAAAGATGAGTTAAATCAGGGTGATAGTGTCGTAAAGTGTAGTGAATCGAACCCCCCTTTGACTGAAAACGATAGAAATATGACTGTCATGAATGCGTATGAATCGATGCAAACACTTGTCAGTTCAACTCCGAGGTCCTCCATTGAGATGAGTGTTCAGTGTAAATCTCTTCCTGGTCTTGTCGAGGAGGGCATCCATATTTAAGTATAAAAAAGAAATTTCTTCATTCTTATATAATTTAGGCTTAAGACCTCTGATAGAGTCAATAAAAAGTTTGAATCAAACTCTCACAAAATAAGGAGCGATAAGATGAAGTCCTAAATTATGGTAAACTTTCGACTGTGTGGAAATTCTATGAATGCAAATTAATCTATTCAAACACTTGTTATTTTAACTCCAGGGTCATCCGTTGCGATACGCTTTCTTACGTAAGTTAGGCTTAAGACTAACACTACCTGAAAACAAACAACAGGACCCCAATAGCCACTCTCGATGAATGATGAGTTAAACCAGAGCAATGATGTAAAATGTGGTAAATTCACTTTCGCCTGAAAACGCAGAAATTTGATCTTCATGAATACATATGAATCGATGCTGATCTTTATTAATTCTTCTCCGAGCAAGTCTTTCTCGGATGCTACTGTGGAAGACGTAAAAGCAGAAGACACTAATTACAATAAATAAAAAGTGAACATAAAACATGCCATATCCATGATGAATTCGGCAACAATTTGATGCTTTGAATTCATACAAATCAACACAATCACTTCAATGTCGAAGTCTTGGAACAAAATATGCGTTTGGTCAAAAAAAGCTTTTCCTTGAAGTTATTGAATAGAAATAAAAAGAGAAGGAAAAAAACTGTTATAATCATAGAAATAGCAATATTTGTAAATAACTTTTTTACAATTGCGATCCTATAATTTCTATATAATTCTTGATGGTCATCATTTTCCTGCCTTACATTTAGATTTTTGAACACTAGTTCTCGTCAGCACTGTGGTCAGTACGAGCTCGGTGCGGAATTCGTATCGAGCAGCCATCGCTTGAATTCAAACCCGCTTCACCTCATCAAGAGGCGAATACTCTATTCTCTGAGCCACCACGACCCAATGCAGATTATTTATTGATTTGAGAAACAATAAAATGTATTATCACTTCAACTGAATATTTCTACATCGAAATAAAATAACTAATCAAATTAACAACGCTGAAGTAAAAAAAACAATCAATAATTAATATATCTATACAAAACATCTATACATATATCAATAAATCTTTATTATTGTATAGATGGCTACGTTGCAAAAATCCTTTCCTACACTCCTTTATATGTCTACTAAGAAAGCAATCATTACTATGCATGTTTGCATGTTCAATAATGTACTAAATAAATATATAATGAAAAATTTCATATTAATTTCTATTGTTTATTTCTTTAAATTTGTCTCTGTTGTACTATAATAAAAATGTTATTGANCATCTAAAAATTACTTATTTAATTTATCTTATTTTTTTGCAGAAAATTGCACATTTGAACAAAGCAATTTTTTAAAAAAAAAATGTCAAATCTGACAAGTTGCTACTTTGTAACAAACTTTTTTGCATAAAAATTATCATTTACACATTAAAGTACAAGTCATTAACTTTAAAACGGGCTAAAGTAAATGACTTTACGATTTTTTTTGACCGAGATGTGAGATTTTGAAAATTTTTTGTCATTTATAGTGAAAACAAAATTATTGCGAATTCGAAAATTATTTAGTATTAATTTTTTGCAACTTTCTTATTCGGATTAATTAAGTTTTTTATTTAAAACATTATTACAAACAAGAACATTATTTATAAATTTGCAATAAAAATTTTAAAGAACGACAAGAAATTTTTAAGAAATTTAACTTTATTTTGCCACCTATTTTTATACAAAATTTACACTTTTCTCAACTGTGATAAATATAAACTTATGCGAACATTACGTAACAAATAAATAATTGATAGCTAACAAATTTTCAACAGAAAATAGTCAATAGGTTAATCTCTTTAAGCTGAAGAATAAATTTTCGAATTCACAATAATTTCGTTTTCACTATAAATGACAAAAAATTTTCAAAATCTCATATCTCGGTCAAAAAAAATCATAAAGTCATTTACTTTAGCGCGTTTTAAAGTTAATGACTTGTACTTTAATGTGCAAATAATAATTTTCAGGCCAAAAATTTTGTTACAAAGTAGCAACTTGTCAGGCTTGACATTTTTTTTAAAAAAAAAATTGCTTCGTTCAAAAATGTAAAATTTTGCAAAAAATTGAGATAAATTAAATTAGTATTTTTTAGGTGAAAGTAGAAGACCTGATCATGATATCCTGAAATTTTTATGAAAATTGATTCATTTTTGAAAAAGTTATGACACTTTGAGAAATGACAATTTTTTAGAAATTTTTAGTGTCCCTAATAATTTGTAAGGGTACTGTATACAAAACATCTATACATATATCAATAAATCTTTATTATTGTATAGATGGCTAAGTTGCAAAAATCCTTTCCTACACTCCTTTATATGCCTACTAAGAAAGCAATCATTACTATGCATGTTTGCATGTTCAATAATGTACTAAATAAATATATAATGAAAAATTTCATATTAATTTCTATTGTTTATTTCTTTAAATTTGTCTCTGTTGTACTATAATAAAAATGTTATTGATTCAACGTTCTAGTAGTATCGTGTAATTGTTACTAGATGATAGAAACAATTTAACAAACGCTTTTAGTTATTTCCCCAATTATTATTTCATGTTGTCAAATAATGTTTAGAGTAGATGAAACTCGTGGCTAGATTCAGATTTTAGGCTGTGTATTTAATTCAAGAACCAAAAATATTAATGATGAGAAAATTAGCAAGTCGAAATGAATATTAATATTAGAAGTTACAAAAATTTTGAATGGAATTTTAGAACATGTAGTTTTTAACACACAGTTCATAGTATCATATATTTCCATTCAATAGTGTGACCTTTGTTTAATGTTTTACTAAAATATATACTTTCTTCACTTTTTCAATGTTCGTATATATCGAAATTTATCATGAAATTATATACATTTGTCAGTATATTCTGATTTCGATGGTATGGATTTTGTTTTCTTTTCAAATGTTCTGTTAAAATATATATTTTCTATAACTTTTCACTGCTCCTAGATATCGAACTAAGTGATGAAATTATGTACATTCGATTGTAACAGATTGTGTGAGGTTTGTTTTTTAAATATATTTCGTTTTAATATTTAAATATTATAATTTTGTATTGTTAGCACATATCAAACTAAATGATGAAAGTATAAACATTTGATTTTATATTCTGATTTTACAATGTCTTGTAATTGATTGTTTTAAAAAAGTTTTCTTAAAATTATTTTTAGAATTTCGAATTGTTCGCACATATCGTATTTAATAATGAGATTCATTCGATAATATATTCTGATGGTTTTTTAATTGTGTAAGGTTTGTTTTTTAAATGTTTTGATAAACTATTAAATTTCTATATTTTTGTGTGTTCTTCACATTTCAAACTAAATGTCGAAATTATACACCTTTGATTTTATATTTTGATTTCCATTGTTGTTGTATTTGAAATGTTCTGTTAAAATACTTAATTTCCATAATTTTTTATTGATAGCAAATATCAAAATTAATGATGAAATTTTATACATTCAATAGAATATTCTGAGTTTTGACTGTGAAGTGTCTATTTTTTTAATTTTCTTTTCGATATTTAATTTATATAATTTTGTATTGTTATCCAACTAAATCAAATAACGAACTATCCTTTTTAGTGTATATTGTTTTTTTTATTGTGTGATATTTGCCGTTTTTTAAATTTTTTGTTAAAATATATACCTTGTATTACTTTTCGTTGCTTGCACATGCTAAACTGTATGATGAATATATACACCAAAGAGCCATTACATTATGACCACCCTCCATCTATAAAAATGGCCTTGCCCAGGAACAATGTTTTCATGGGGGACATTAGGACCCATAATCCTCATAAAACAATCCCTGACGTCTGTAAGCTACTTGAATATAGTTGCAGACCAGGTTCGCCCATTCATGGCAACAGTTTTTCCTGCGGGGGACGGTGTTTACCACCAGGATAATGCACCATGTCATAAGGGTCGAATCGTCATGGATTGGTTCGAGGAACATTCCAGTGACTTTCAAGTCATGTCTTGGCCCCCAAATTCACCTGACCTTAATCCAATAGAGCATTTGTGGTCCTACTTGGAAAACCAAATTCGTGCTGCCACGCTACCCCCTCGCAATGTGAGGGAATTGCAGGACCAGTTGGTGAGCGCTTGGTACCAGATACCTCAGACTACCTATCAGCACCTTGTGGAATCAATGCCACGGCGGGTGCTGGCAGTTTTGAGGGCTAAAGGTGGTCCTACATGTTATTAGCAGGGTGGTCATAATGTAATGGCTCTTCGGTGTATACATATCTATATATATATTAATGTATACTTTAATTCCAGATAGAGTAAGTTTCGCATTTTTTTTTTTAGTGTTTTGTTAAAATATATAATTTTTATAGTTATTAAATGCATGCACACATTGAATTAAATGATGAAAATATATAAATTTGATAATATATTTCTATTTTCGATTGTGTGTTCAAAATATTTTATTTCTATAATTTTGTATTGTTCGCACTTATCGAACTAAATGATAAAATTATATACATTTGATTGAATATTCTGATTTTGGATTGTATTGTGTTCATCTTTTAAATGTTTTGTTAAAATAATTCATTTCTATAATATTGTGTATTATCCCCCTATACCTAACTAAATATTGAAATTATATTTATTTGATGGTATATTCGAGTTTTTAAATGCTTTGTTAAAATATATGATTTTTATAACTTTTAAAAGCTCTCACATATCGTACTAAATGATGAAATTATATATTAGTCGACAATATATCCCGATTTTCTGTTGTTTGATTGTTTTTTCTAACTTTGTACTTCTCGCACTAGGGAAGTTTTGGATTTTTTCCCCTTAAGTAGTAAAGGGGGGGGAGAAGGTTAAAAAATATCTATAGAATGATTCTAAGTCAGGGGACAGATTGATTAATAATTTTTCAATTTTACAATATTTTAAAAACTTTTCTATCGTAATTTTATGTTTCAGCAATCAAACTAACAAAAAAAAAGCATGCAGAGAAATTTTGTTTTTTGAATTAATTCATAGATAATCCAAAAATATAATATTAAAAGGGCATAACATCCGGCTAGCTAAACAAACTATAGGGATTAAATAGTCAGATCTAATAAAAGAATCTAAATCCCTCAAAAAGTATTATATTTATTTATAAGGAACTATCATATAAGTATTTAATAAGAAT